ATCAACGCGAGCAGTTAATAATGTTTATGGTAAGATTACAAAGCTTTAGTTAAGTATGTTAACCAGATGCTCTGTGTAGAGCATTCCATTATATGTCAACATTAGCGCGAACATATATATAACAATAAAATGAGATATTTATATGTAATCACACTGTTTAATTTATAAATATAACTAAAACAATACATAAAATAAAAAATATACAGGAATTATGTTGCAATTCTTACAGATCTACATTATTTACGTATAATACTGAAAGTTAATACAGCAACGATTATTTTCCAGCTTATTGAACATTATTTTGTAGCAAAATCGAATTATTCAAATATAATATAATATACGGTCAGCTATATGGAATATTATTTAAAATTAAATAACTTTTTTATTTTAAAAGTCTTAAATGTGTTTTAGAAATTTATTTTTACAACTTTAAATAATAATTTATAATTTATTTTCTATTCTATAACAAACAATTTTATTTTATTTTACAACATTAGATATTCAAGTTATGACTTCTGAGAGAAGAATTTTGCGACATTCATAAAAAGGCATACAAAATTTTTAAAATTTATCAACGCTTTTAAGTATTTCTAATAATATGCTTTTCTAATGTTTTATAAAACACTTCAAATCTTTATCGATCGGTCGAAATCTATCGAAAAGATTTGACCGATTATCTAAATAAGAAAGATTTTATATGCTTAAAAGGACTAAATTGACTATAATATCGTTCACATTCAAGCGCACAAAAGTCTCTTATAATCTGTCATCATGGTGTAACGATCAACTCGAGATCACCTCGCAAACACAGTGCAACGTTGTTAAGCCTCTTGAACTCTCAGTTTTCTTGCACTTTGCAATCAGTAATTTCATCACAACACCGAAGAGAGTTCAACACTTGGCGGAACAACAAGGCAAGATCTGATAAACCTTCGTCTCAATATAACCGAATACTGAAAGTTATATCCGGATGATTACTGGTATGATAAAAGACTAAGTTTGATTTAAAAAATGCTGCTTTGTAAAAGTTTTTCTGATGCACAATAGCTGTAACTATAAATTCCTAATACTGGGCTATATACTCTTGAAAAAGAAGTAGTACATTGGACAAACGCGTAGTATATATGCGTCATATAAAGTAGGTTTCGTACTATAGGGTCAATGCCTTGATACGCGATATTCAATGCGTATCGCATCAGATATCCCAGTATAATCGGTTAATTTATTAAAGTAAAAATATCTTTAGTAATACCTGGCTGATCTGTAGAGAAATAATATTCTAAATAATTTGATACCTACTCTAAATTTTTTGAAGTAGAATCTCACTCTAAAGAGTGAAAATTGAGCCAGTCTTGAAAAAGAGTAGCTCAATTTTCAACCTTTGAGAATGAAATTTCACTCTTCGGAGTGATATTCACTCTAAAAGTTTCAGAGAGTAAGGAAACAGGAGTTTAATTGCTATAAATTACAGAAAGCAGGTTTGTGTATCTATAAATATGTTATGTTATCAAGATATTAAAAATCTGTTCGCAAAGAAAAAAAGTAATATAAGCTGCAGCAGTAAATTTGCTCGCTAGTTACAGTTTCATCTCACAAATTTCATTCTCCTATATCGGTTCTCACATCATACGATTCAACACAAAATCCGTTTGTACGCAAAATGCATATCTAATGCGCCTAATGAATAATCCGACATCGGTAACGCGATGTATTAACAATCGACGATGTATGGAATGGAATCTCTCGCGAGAAATCCATGTTTTCCTCTCAACGATTAGAGAGCCGTTGCATTGAAAGGGTCAAACCGGGTCCTGTCGATGAGTAAAAAGCTCGCGCGATTCTAAGCACGGTAGAGCAACGTACTCGCGACGCGGCCACGATCCAGGCTATCTCCCGGAAACACGGTGAGATTAATGTTATAACGAGAAAAACGCGCCGCTTCTCGACGAATTGCGACAATGCAATGGGCCGTGGAGACCGTAGTTGCAATTCCCCAGAGCACACGGCTTCACCAAAAAGCTTCGCCAGGAAGCGGTGGTAATTTAACGCTTTTTACACGTAAAAAATTATCATTTCTTAATGAATAAAGAAGCAAGACGGATTCGTGTGATTAAATAAGATAAAATTAAAAGAATAGATTAATTTGCAAGTCACTTCAAGTACTCCAGATAGCATACATGTTGGAACATATATAAGACATCTTAAATGCATCTGTGAGATGTTAATGAATAGCATTGGATAATAATAATTCAGTTTACTGAATATTCATCTGTATATTTTCTTTTAATTCACAGTATTGCTTTCAGCATTTTTTTTTCTCAAAAACAATTGACCTGTAGAAATATCATATTTATTCAGTTTCGTTAAAAAAGAGTTGACCCAGTTTTAAGCAATTTTTTCTTTGAGAAATATACGCAGTTAACTAACCTATGGGGATATCGTGTGAATGAAAAAATTGTTCCGAATACACACACAGATATTGACTGACTCTCTTTGGCTCTGGTTTTGTTGTGTGTTCTTTGTGTTCCATTCACTCGAATCGACCATACAAATCTAAAATTGTTTACGTTGCAGAAATCTGATCTGCATTTCTCTGTTTATTGAAAGATGCCGTAATATTTTTTGATAAATACAATATTATAATTACTTTCCCAATTATTTCAATATAAACAGCGCATAGAAAAATTTAAAATATATTTTTCTTTTTTAAAATTCGCAAATATATTATTAAAAATGCGATACTTAAGAATTATTATTTCTTTTATAGCAACATCAAAAAATTTAACTTATTTGACGCAATAGAAGTGTTAATTAAGATAGATCAATCTACAAATTAAGTAATAATTATACAGTCTAGACAAAATCAACCGCGAAGAATTGCTTGATGAATAGTGTATCAGCTAGAGTATACAAAATCTAAATCGCCAGAATTAATAACAATGGAATTTTACTTTTTTAAATACAAGTTATATTTTACGTCTAATATTAAAATGTCATATATAATTACATAAATGTAATTATATATTATACATATGTATACCATATAATCTCAATTAATCTGCACATAAAAAAATAAATGATATGATTATATTATATTATATGCATTTTATTACATAAGCTGCGTTTTGATTCTTCAAAAACTTTCTAATATTTTTTAAAATTTTCAAAAGTACTACAGATGCATGTTAAATTGTAGATAGAATTCTAGATCGTTTGTAGTAGGCTTTATATATAAAATTATAATTTCTCTCTCGTCTCAAGATCTGCCTGCATCAAGTTCTTAGTAAAATAATTAACTTCGCTGATGAATGGATAGATAACTGATATGATAATGTTATACACCCACTTTAAAAAATCGATTCATTGGATTATGCATACTGAAAGGCATTTTAATCATATTGCTAATATCGACTTCAAAGTTATTCAAAGTTAAAATGAGTCCGGTTCTACATTTTCACTACATATATAGGCACTTTCTGAACTTCACGCGCTCAAAATAAAGCTGCGCGAAATTTACTGACCAATTTAATATTAAAAGACAATAATTATTAATTAATTATTTTAAATATTAAAAGCACTGTTATTCAGTAATTTTAATACTCCAAATAAGTAATTACTGTTTTTCAATAATAAATATAGAAAGTAGAAGATTATAAATATTATTACAAAAAGTGCTATAAAAACTGTTAAAAACATATAAAAATGTTTATGAAGATTGTGGAAAAACGCCATATGAGCACTTTAACTGATAAAACATCATACAATCCATACAATCCACTAATAACGTTTTAATATTTTTATAATCAAAATGTACGGATTATATTATTATTATTAAATGACTCTCTCTTTATTCATGCATGTAATTGCTTTTAATATGCAGCCTTAGCCCGTAGAATAGTGTGAGCAACCGACTTTATTATAAATATAGAGAATGTAACGGATTTATCGCGATAAAAATTTCGAAACAGCGCACTTCGTCGCGCGCGACGATTTAAACTGTCGCGCTTGACAATTCAGAAGGTATTTGTCGTTCATGCCCGTTTCTACCAATGTAGATTAACATACTCTTCATTTTTTTCTAATACAATCTCGATTTAACTTACTCTTCATCCGTTTCTAATTTTTAGAACTAAAAAAAGACGAAGAGTCACTTAAACCGAGATAAAAAATAAAAAAAACTATATTGAAAGAAACGGATGAGAATAAAAAAAAGGATAAAGAATGAATTAAACTAAGATTAAAATTAATCTATATTAAGCTCGTTTCTATCAATGTAGTTTAATTTTAATCTCACTACTAATTTTTCATTTTTTCCTAATTCTAAAAATTATAAAAAAATGAAAAATAAGTTGAACCAAGATTAAAATTAATCTACATTAGTAGAAACAGAAATTAGTAGAATAATGGACATTAGTGACACCAATTGGCACCAACATCGTTCTAGCTTTTGTGGTATTTCAAAAGTAACAAAGACAAAACAATATTTGTTTTATAATATCACCAAATGGAAAATACTCATATATGTACACACAGTCTCTTTATTTTAAATAATACATTTCCCATATAGCCTCGGTTGATGTTGTTCCGTAATACAACAAAGTCGTTCAATTAATTGAGATCTTCTCAATCTTTTCTCCCGAAGGAATTTATTTCTATGACTAAATTATTTCGTGTTTAAAATCTCAATAATCGATCGAGAACAGTTTCAAACGTTCCCCCCCCCCCTTCGAACGTGCCTTTCTAAAATATACAAACGCCGTTTAACGACGCCGCTAAAAAATTCTAAATGCCACGCATGATTGTGAAGTGAAACATAGGTGACTAGTTGACAGCCTTGATCGTGAGAATTAAGAAAAATAGAAAAATTGAAATCAAGAGAGAAAATGGCGATACCGCGAATTAAGTGAGCTCAAATTCTTTTTATCCTTTTTTCCAGGATATAAAAGGAAGTATGATTCTTTCGCAAAAAGCATATATTTTTTAAATACACTGTAAATTACCTTTGGATTTTCTTACGGAAGTGTCATGTTCAACGTCGGCATGAATCCTCGTGAAGTACAAAACTCGCCAGTGGTCCTTCCCTTCACCTCCGGCCGAGAGAAAGCAAGTGTTTTGAGAAGAAAAAAAGCGGGAAAATCGTCCGATCACATTTTGACGAGCGCATTTGATCGCGAGCAACGATCGTTTTTTGAGCGGCAAGCGTTTTATATTCGCGTGAGAAGAAACCAATGCGTATCGCCCGCCCGCGTAATCGACGTCGCATCAGTCGCGTGTTGCGTACGAATGGTCGCGCCGCTCACTTCGGCTCGGCTCGGCGCGGCCAGGCACAGCCACATTGCGGCTCACTTCACCCCGGACACCGCACGGTCGTCACATGGCCGCGGCAGCCAATCCGGCGCGCCGACCTACGCACCGGCCGACCAATCGCGGTCTCGCCGTTCCCGCGCCGTCGTGATTCACCCGGCAACGGCGCGTAAACGAAGTTCTCATCGTATCGCGACCGATGACGTCGATATACTGTCGACGGAGACTTCGGCTGTGTTTCAAAATTTACTGCCAACACTGAAAATCTATAGTTTATGTCTCGTGTTCTATAGACTTTCAGTATACTGGCAGTAAATTTGGGAACACAATCTTTATAGAGAATCCTGTGACTTCACGCATATTCGTTCTCTCTTTGACGATTTTTAATACTTAATACACATGATAATTTTTTCGATTCTTTGCTACACACGATGGATCATTCGTTGTTCTGGGTTAAGTTTCATCACTTTAATTGTAGATGTACAAAAATTATCAAATGATTTTTACATATACTTTAATATCATCTTTAGAAAGTATTTATAAGATATTGTATTTTTAAAAATTGTTTATAAATCTAATTACTTAATGCATCTAGTTTTTGAAAAAAAAATATATATTATATATATGCATATGCAGAACACAAATGACAATCGTGTATACTAAAAAATTTGCTGGATAATGATGAAATACGATTGATGTAATTTACGTAAATATCATAATATAATAATATCAAATTTGTAACGTTTCTTTAAAATATTACTGAAAAGTTTCGATAGTAATAGCTCCATCAAATGTTAAATGACGCTATCACTATCGAAAAAAGGATCTATACAAAATGTAAAAAAATCAAAAATAAATTTAGATATTCGATAGACATTCTTGAATTGAATGGACATATAAATATAATGAATTATGATGAGAAAATTATAATATTATATGCATAACGCGACGACATAATAAAATAAAAATTAATTTAAAATTGCAATTGTGAAATAAAAATAACGCAGCACATAGCAAACTGATCTATTGTGTTTTGTAGAAATTAGCAAATATTTTACTCAAATGACTTTCCAAATTTCTATTAGCAATACTAATATCTCGTTAAAAGTATTTCTACTATTTGTCTACAATAAACTTTTTTTTCAAATTAGGATTTTATACAATATTATTGTATTTAAATCATAATAAAAAAATATTATAATCAGGTAAAACAATTCTATATATATGTTTTATCTAATAAAATAATTTAAAGAAAAGAAGTAAAGTTTTACACTAGTTTATGACATAGCATTTTATCTCTTTTACCTATGAAATAAATTCTTGTGAAGAAACCTAGTATGACAGAAGTCAGCGTCACTGACGGCATAAGTTTTTTCCTCACTGGCGACGACGAGTATAAGTTGTCTTCATAAAAGCTCACCTCTGGTGTGACGCGTTAAAAAATTAATACTGCGTTACAAGGCGTTTAACAGACGTCGCACCGATCCAACTTGTATGTATAAAGCGTCTGGCGTGTCAAGTAGAACATGACATTCATAGCACGATTACATATAAATACAGAGTGTGCACTCCAATAACTCTTGATAAAATCTTGATTAAATAAACTAAAATCTCATTCTTCTATGTTGCAATTATTCACAACATTATTATTTAAATATTATCATAAAAATTTGATGTCTGAAAACACTTCTTTAAATTAAAAATTGGATAACATATTCTGGGCTGAAATATTTTACATCCACATAAGTAATTTATATCTTACCAATTTGATTTACATTTATATTTAAATTCAAACTGAAATGTTTATTTGCTCTTCTTTCCATTATATCGCTCATTTGTTATAAAATATAAAGTTTCCTAGAAAATAAATTTGAATGTTTTGAAAAATTTATAATATTAACTTCAAAATGTAATTTATTATAATAATTAATTGGAATAAAAATATATTGTTTTAAAATATATTTTTCTTTTTTTCTTTATGTTTTTTCTTTATGTTTTCATATGTTTTTTCTTCATATTTCTTTTTTATTTTCTTTTTCTGTAAACAATATCAAAATTTTAATGTTTGAGTTACGTCTTTATTGAACGATATATCCGTTTTTCTTACTAATAATTTAGGGATGCATTTTGAAATAGAGAATACTAACAATAATAATGAAAGTTTTCACTTCACATTACGTACACTATTATCAGTTATACATGTCGGAATGCATCCTAGATTGTCAATAAAACAACAATAATACGTCTTTAGCTATGCACTGTTATACGTTCTGCATTCGAAATAAAATCGATATATGCTGCATATAAACTGGAATGATGTAAAAGAAAAAAAAAAGAAAAATCACAAAGGAATGCAAAAAGCGCAGCTGAAAAGAAACACGCTTAATATATACATAAGTCGCGTGGAGGCAAAAGGAAGAGGGAAAGCGAGCAGGGAAAGTTCGAGAGATAAAGTAAATCTGTTTTAGCTACGCTTTCTTACACTTTCCTGCATTTTAAATAAAATGTTCGAGCTTTGAGAGAAAAAAGAAAATGAACGCTCTAAAAATCTTCTCGTTACGAATTCTCTCATTAAAATCTTTTTATTCAACGTTTTAATCATCCTTTCAATAATATTGAATTTCAATAATATTGCCGTTTTTTAATAATTTTACAGTTGTTTAGTAATGTAAAAGTAGAAAAACCACTCATATTCTAACGCTAAAGATAAATACATAGTGTGCAACATGATGATGGATGCTTTCCATTTTAATGAGACTCGTTCGAGTTAGCTCAAGTCGATAACTCCAATGCAATAAACAGAAAGTATTTACTATACATAGAAATTGAGGCACACGATATATCCTAAGTAACTTAAAATTAATTTATATTTGCATAAATTATTTGTGTTAAAGTATTGTACAATATAATTGTACAATATAATTTGGTCATGTAAATAATAAAGTAAAATATAAATAAAGTAAATATAAATAAAGGTAAATCAACTTATAATTTTTATCATATTCTCTAAATATATATTCTATAAATCTCGAAACAGAGATACCAATATTTGTTTTCATTGAATTAAATCATATTCGTATACATATAATTTAATAAATAAAATTTTTTGTACACACACACACACACACACACACACACACACACACAAATAAAAAGATTGTTTATTAATTTGTCGGCAATTAATAAAAGCAGAGGCCAATAATGATGATGCTAGTGACATAACACAATACTCAGATTTAGTTTTCTCTTAAATTTATATCTCCCCTCCCATTTATGTTTCAATCCATTGCCACACTCCGTAGCAAAATTAGTCAGAGTCGACTTGAGTCATCGACAAACGATGACGTAGATCAAATAGAAAATAGAAACTAAAATTAGGACTCGATTTACAATAAATGAAAGCGCAAAATCAAATCTACTTGTCAATGTGAAATTCAAAACATCAGTCATTTAATTTCGGACTTATAAGAAATTTAACAAGGGAAGAGTTTTCTTCGAATGATTGAATTATTGCTAAAAACAATTTTTGTTTCAATTCTGTTAAATTTTAAATCTTAAATTTTGGATAATCTTAATATTAAATA